CGCCAAGCCATGTTAACACGCCCCCTTCCGCCACTGCCACTAGCCAAAGCCAACGAAGGGGGGATAGTGTTAATAAAACAAGCCGTGGCAGCCATTTCTACCTGCTTTCTGCTTTCTTGCAAAAATAAAAGAACTTGTCGTTACGCTGCTGGTTTTTTTTTGTCACATCATTTGCAATAATAGCCTTAAAGTCATCGTGGTTTGAAGGTACATGGACACCTGGTACATTCGTATCGAGCGATTTGATTAAGTCTGTGTTCGAATCCCCTAAAATACGCACCTAACAGATTATCACGAAAGACTTCCCTTTATCACGTGTTATAATTAAACCAGTAAAATTGTAATTTGCGTGGGCCCGCACGAGTATGTACCACCGGTCAGCCTATTTCTGCCGTGAAACAGTAATGCGGTTCGATTTGAATGGCAGGGTAGTCGGTGTACTGTAAAAACTGAGAATTAGATCTCATGTATTGAGGCGAATATTTACGTTGTTGATGTCCAGTAACAATTTAAAAATAAGTGGGTTGTTAGCTCGTTCTGCTTCAATAATCTTCTATCTTCTATCTATATCTTCTTCTCTATATATAAAAATGAATTGCTGTTCGTTAGTCTCGCTAAAACTTGAGAACGGCTGGACCGATTTGGCTAATTTTAGTCTTGAATTATTTGTGGAAGTCCAGAGAAGGTTTTAAAAGGTAAATAAATATGAAAATGCTTGTAATTAAATAAAAATAACAGTTTTGTTTTTCCTTTAATGTGTCCCCCGTCGGACGGATTCCTTTTGTTTGTTTTAAGATTATTTTATACAAAAGTTTAGGTCTTTTATTTATCGATTGAGGCACTGCGAAGTCTGCCGGGTCAGCTCGTAAACAAATAAAAAGCTTTTCTCTTTATCTTTTTCGGCATTTTTTTAATCTATCGATGCTCGTACTGATAACTACGTATTCTCTGCATGTATAGCTCATGTGTCCTATCTACGTAACTATCCTACTATTTATGAACTATTATACTATATACTATTACATGTACTATTATACATTATTACCATTTCCACTTGTGTGCGACAGAATACTTGGGCTGTCAATCTATCGATTAACGAAACATCTGTGATAAATCTTCCTATTGTAGTTTCTCTAATACTACCGTGTATGAATGTCATCATTCATCATCATTATCCTGCCCTTCTCCCAGTCACCTGGGGTCGGCGCAACATGTTTTCTCCTTCCATACTCTTCAATCATATACCTTTTCTTCGCTCACTCCCCTCTTTCCCACATCGTCTTTCACACAATCTATCCATTTCTTCTTAGGTCTACCTCTTCCTCTATATCCTTCCACATTCATAGTTAACATTTTCTTACCAACCTCATTTTCATTTCGTCTCATCACATGTCCATACCATCCCAAACGCGCACTCCTCAGCTTCTCTGTCACAGGTGCCACTTTCAGACTTCCTCTAACATATTCATTCCGTATTCTATCCATTCTCGTTACTCCACACATCCTTCGCAACATTCGCATCTACGCTGCATGCAATCGCCTTTCATCCGTGTATGAATGTATGGAAATTTTAAAGTAATACCAATGATAATAAATCTCAGGAGTGGCTAACAACAAGTTTGTACGAGCCGGATCTTTGTGACTTCGGTGACGCTGTGCCGTTTATGAATGCACATTTTTAGGATGCGTAAGCCGGAACGCACGAGATGTGAGAAAAAGAATATAGTCTGTGACACGGGACCTTTTTACCGCCAAAAAATTTATATCGTAAAATAAAATATAATGTGTACAATAACTAATATAATATAATATCTTAGAATTGCTTATGCCGCTACAACAATAAAACTCCTATTGTTTCAACTGCGGTGCTAATTACATAAAACACGATTTTACAGCGAATTAAAGAAGGGACTATATATGGATCCCTCTAGGTGACCGCGACGTAATCGATTGTTACAAATAGAGATCGAGTGCACGTCCTTACGGATCCATCAGATCCAATAACCTTTGCATTAGACGCCTTCAGTTCTAACACTAGGAGCAGGCTTAGGGACCCCGGTAACCGTACTCGTCGAACTCGACAAAGAGTTCGCCGTGCAACCTAACCCATGAATCAGCTCGCTGAGTTTCTCGCCGGATCTTCTCAGCGGGTCGCGATTCCGATCTGGTAGTAGATTCATTCGCGAAGCAGCTGCTCTTGAGCTGTTAGGTCTCCTTCGGAGGTGCTCGGGCAGTTGTTAGCAAATCCCACCTCTCCTGGCTGAGCCTTTGCTCGCCCACCTGTCCTGGTGAAACTGGAAAGGCCTCCAGGCCACCAGTAATCCTTCAATCATAAAAAAAAAAGATCGAGTACAAACCATATACACCTGGCGTAGCATCCATATAAGGTCGAGTAGGGGAAGTCCGGGCAAAGTGGACACCTTAACGTTTGATGAGCTATAGGAAGAAAACCAATAGACATATAAATAAAACAAATGTTCAATGAGAATCAACATTTATTAAAGTTTTTAATATAATCAACAAAAATGCTTAATAGCAGTCCTTTAATTTTAATTGTCAATAATGTTGCAACATATGCCAGTATCCACTTTGCCCCATAGGTCGGGTAAAGTGGATAGGACGATAGGGCAAAGTGAACACAAATACTTAGCATAGCTTTAAACTAATCAGTGCAGATATCACAAAGAAATAAGCCTATTCTTCATAAGCCGTGCATTTATCGTGACTCCTTTGCTTACATTTATCACATTGGATCCAATCAACTGTTTTGTCATTTATTTCTATACAGTTCTCCTCGCAATAATAGAATACACACAGTTCTTCCCCGGTTTCCTTACCACTATCCTTAATTTTATCTTTAACAATTATATTTATCGGCATTTTAGTATTTTTCTTTGTCGCAGTATTTGGTTTAGCATTTAAATCTTTATTCACATTTTTCATTCCTTTTAAATTTTTCTTTTTGTTCTCCGTTCACTAGCGTATGAGTTAACCTTAGACTTTTGAATCTTTCTTTTACGTGGACCCACAGGAACGTGTGGCATCGGAACGAATAATCCAGAAGCGTTGCAGCAACTCACGACTGTAGTTTGTCCAGGTTCAGTGCTGGAAATGACTACAACTTGCTTCTTACCTTTAACTGAAAGAACTATGGGTGGTTTATTTGTCGAGGTCCGAGTGCCAGTTTCATCTAGAACAATTGAAGCCTTTAACTCTGCCAATTGTAGTTGCTTCTGGAATTCGTGTATTTGTGGATTTCTTCTCATAAGTTCTGCTAACCAATCATCACCAGCTTATTTATTTTTGTCCTAACTAGGCGGACAAGTGACATTATTGCGTTTTGCGTATTCAAAAACTAATATTTTTTAATTCTTCTTGGGTTAACCCATAAAAAACACTATCCATATCATACAAATACGTTGGAAAGTCTTCTTCTTGTTCATCGTTTAAAACTTTACGAAGACGACCAAGCTGAGCAGTCCAACTACCTTTTTTCTAATTCCTATAAAGAGCGGCTTAAGATAGACCATACTTTTTTGCGGTCGTTTTCACAGGAATGACAGAATCTGCTATCGAAGCTATAGAAGCAATCTGCTATCGCAAGCATCATACTGTTCTCACTCCAATGGGCTTGGTTGATATTTTTTCTTGTATTTATATGCCATCTAAAACTAAAACAAAAATTGAATGCCAAATAAAGTCATCGAGGGCAAAGCGAATGCCGTATCCACTTTACCCGTGATCACTATGCCTTACATCTTTTCATTTCATTAAACTTAACCCAAAACCAAATGAGGTGACGACAAAGTAACAAAACTCTCAGAATTCATACTTGAAAATACGCACTTAAAGGACATAATCGTACTAAAAAATATGGTTAACTTTTATATGAGTTATTAAAGTATTACGCACCTTGAAAAGTAATAAGGAAACTTCATTAGTTAGTTTTTTCGGTTTTTCTCTCGATCGCGTCGCAAGCCTCCGCTAGCTCTGTTTGCCCACGAATGCGGACGGGCGGGGGAATTTAATGTCGCGAGGCGCGCGTGTTCCGATATGTTATTGACAAAAAATAAAGCGTATTCACTTTGCCTGGCCTATCCACTATGCCCGGACTTCCCCTACAAACTATATATGGATCCCTCAACGCTTTTGTTCTGCCATATCTTCTTCAGACTGTCCATTGCAGTTCTTGTGATCGCCATACGCCGCTTTACTTCATCTACTACTAATTCTAGTAAGAATTCGTTCGTAAGTATACTAACTTATTAATTCTACAATGGCCCCTAATAAATCGTGTTCAGGATTGTTTATGTTTAATGAGTACTAGCTGAGTCCGTAATAAAATGCAATTTTATATTAAAACATAAAAACCTATAAGACGTTGTTGAAAGCTAATAACGTAAGATCATTTTAGCTAAACATACATTTAAGTTTCAAATCAATTCGCCAATGTGGTTCAAAATTTATTTAAAAAATTGTCAACAGCGCCATCTATACGGCTCTAACGTAACTATGTTCATTGTAGTGGTCATGGCGCCCTTTATGCTGATAGTGGTGAAAGGTTATTTCACCCTACGGTGAAGCTGAAATAGCTAGCTAGGGCTAGCGTTTAGGTGAGCGTTTTTTTTTTCTTTCTTAGGTGACTGGACGAGCTCACAGCCCACTTGGTGTAAAGTGGTAACTGGAGCCCATAGACATCTACTACGTAAATGCGCCACCCAGCTTGAGATATAAGTTCTAAGATCTCAGTATAGTTACAACGGCTGCCCCACCCTACAAACCGAAACGCATTACTGCTTCACGGCAGAAATATGCAGGGTGGTGGTACCTACCCGCGCGGACTCACAAGCGGTCCTACCACCAGTAAAATTGAGCTAACGGATCTCAACTTTTAGATGACCATACATATACAAATATATACTCTTTTATCTATTTAATTTATACTTTTTCAACGATTTGTTTTTTTTTTTATTTACAAAAGGCTCAGGGAAGTGAAAGTATGAAAATAAAAAAACATTTTATTATACATTGTAATGTTTCGATATTATTTTATTACACAGAGTCTTTCTTCCTGCGAGTGGCGCGATCACGCCAGGTAGCTGTAAGTGTCCTTCTCTCCCTCGGTACGCTCTAAATATTCCTTCTCAATCAGTATATCGATGCATTTCTGTGAACACGTAATAATATATTGAGTCAATTTAAAGGATCAATTTTATCATCACGCCTTCTGCTACCGGAGCGAATCCGATCCTTATCGATCCAGTGAATATTTAAAAAAAATCAAATATAATAAAAAAACGAATATTAAAAAAAAAGATGCCCGCTGAGTTTCTTGCCAGTTAGTTCTTCTCAGGGCGAAGGCTAGTTTTTGTGGATTGGCGGTAGTTCTTTTTGACGTTCAACAAGCACTGTAGGCGCGCGAGTTCATGTCCATCCTGAGGAATGCGGTAGTGCTGTGACCTAATTAATTAAGGTAATGTCGATATTAACTACCTTAGTCAAAAGCTGTCAATTTGGTTTAATGTAACTGAAGGTAATTTTGCAATTTATGAAATAAAATAAATGTGATAAGTAATTACTTGTTTACTTCTAATAGAGAAAAATATTTTTTAGATTCCAATGCAATCACTATCGAATGAAAAGACCACCGACAGATCAGTCAGAATCAGTATGTATCTTTTTCAGTAGTTTTTTTTGTATCTAAACTTGTTGGAAGCGGCGTAGTCATTGTTAAATAGCACAATAGCGTTAGCGTAAATTTTCGATATCGATAAACGCGCGTCACAACCGTCCCGGACAACACTCGAAGTCAGACAAATGCGGGGAGGGGGGTGAAGTTGAGGCGAGGTGTCCCCCGCGCGTCGCCTCTGGCCCCGATGGACATGAACTCGCGCGCATACAGTATGTACTTTCATTTATGTTGAATAAAAAAAATTTGATTCGATTTGAGTGGCTCTCTGGAATTATCTCTGTCACACAACAGTTGCCAGAGTTTTTGAGGTATCCTTCAAAGTTGAGTCCATCGTTGGGCGAGCTGTACGCTCGCCTGCCTTCGCGAATGAGAACCTCATGCAAATGTTCGGCAATCTATGGATTTTATTAAACTAGTCTATGGTGGGACTTTTTGGCGGGAACGCGAGGAGTGAAGTCGTGTGATTTTTGTTTTATTTTGTCTATTTAGTGTTTCTTCAGGTTTAAATGTGTAATAACGGTGGTTTATTAACTGTTTAAGATCTGTGAAAGTGCACAAATGTAGGAAAATGAAATAAAGCCGCTGGACGTAACTTCTCGGGATCCTCCAAAAAGTCGACTAAAAAAATCTCAGTAAATGACCACCATTTTACTGAAATTATATTTCATCCCATCTCATCTCATTTAATTTCATCCCAGTTGATTAATGTCTCAAATTAATCATCTTCGTTTCATTTCATTTCACTGTATATTATCATTTCTCATAAAAATAAGAATATAAATTAAAATAGGACATGACTTAAAGGTCTTAGCTACCAGGTCATAAAATCCCTTAAAAAAAGTCTATGGTGTGGCTTTCTCTTAGATGCAGGTCGTAAATCTGTTGTTTACAATATTAATAATGATCACCTTGATGACAGGAACTCTGGGCTTGAACCGTGACGACAACTGGTTGAGGACTTCCACCACTAGGTGCTGATGCTTTAGGGTCTTGCGCGTTTTCATTATCCGTACTATGGCGGCCTGCAAGAGAAATTCTGTTGTTTAAAATACGTTCGTTGAGGAATTTTAGTGGAAATTGTGATGTAGAACAAAAATTTTTATATTTTATTATATAAATATAAAAATAAATTGCTGTTCGTTAGTCTCGCTAAAACTCGAGAACGGCTGAACCGATTTGGCTAATTTTGGTCTTGAATTATTCGTGGAAGTCCAGAGTAGGTTTAAAAGGAGAAAAAATATGAAAATGCTCGGAATGAAATAAAAATAACAATTTTGTTTTTCCTTTGATGTTGTTCCCCGTCGGACGGATTCCTTTTGTTTGTTTTAAGTTTATTTTATACAAAAGTTTGGGTTTTTTATTTATCGATTGAGGCACTATGAAGTCTGTCGGGTCAGCTAGTTATAGTATAAAACAAAGTCGCTTTCTCTGTCCCTATGTATGCTTAAATCTTTAAAACTACGCAACGGATTTTGATGCGGGTTTTTTTTAATACATAGAGTGATTGAAGATGAAGGTTTATATGTATAATAACATCCATTAAATAGTGGAGAAATCAATAATAAATTACAGTTTCCGAAGCGAAGCGAGGGCGGGTCGCTAGTTTAATAATAAATGGTAGTTCACGTCAGATGAGCCAAATTCGACCCCAACCACAGAGACCTCAAGATCTATATTCATTTTAAACGGCCGTCTGGTGTAGTGGTAAGTAACATGGTCACTACACAAGGGGGTCGCGGGTTCGAATCCCGCCAAGGGAAGATATTTGTATGATAAATATAAATGTCTTTCCAGGGTTATGGGTGTATATTAAATATATGTATGTGTATAATAAAAATATTATATTTATATCCGTCATCTGGTACCTGTAACACAAGTTCTTTACGAACTTATCACGGGACCAGTTAACGTGGCGTGATTGTTAGTAAATATTTATATTTATTTAATTATGCATTGTGTTTTCTCTCTTTTTTTAAAAGTTTTCATGAAAATTTGTCTGTTGACAAACAGACGTAGAAATACGTACTGCTTTATCGCTACCTATATATTTCAATCACAATTATTTTTGTTATTTATTGCATAGATGGGTGGATGACCTCACGTGGTGTTAAGTGGTTACCGAAGCCCATAGACATCTACAATGTATATGCCGCCCATCTTGAGATATAAGGTCTAAGGTCTCAGTATAGTTACAACGGCTGCCCCGCCCTTCAAACCGAAACGCATTACTGCTTCACGGCAGAAATAGGCGGGGCGGGGTAGCCGTATACCTACCCGTGTGGAATCAAAACAAGAGGTCCACAACACCAGTAAGCTCATTGTATTACCTGCTTATTTTAGGAGAACGGTCTACATTCAAATTATTAAGTTAAATTAAGCCCTTCGAATTAAATATATCGAGAGGTGAAAGGCTATTTGGTTCAAGCGAAATTTTTACAACATTACAGAATATCATCCCATTAAAATATAAAATTAGAAAAATATATCAATCAAAAAAAAAAATCTTCAGTTATTTGAATGTAGTAAACTTAATTAAAATTTTTAATGTTTATCATTTATTTTATCGTTACAACTCAAGGTACAACAAGGTAAGATGATTTTTAAATTAATAATTTTGTGCAGCGACCGGCGCGTGCGCGTTATTCAATTTTTCGAACCTCACTGTCTGTATTTTTATAAGTCGGTCGCATGGCGTTGGTCGACACTTTAGGGTTCCGCTTAGCGTGCGAGGATTTTTTATTATAGTTCAGTTCCGCACGTTACAAATTCAATTAAAACAACGAACCGTTGATACTGATACCAAATAAAACGCTTTTTCAATTACAAAGATAAATGTCGCGTATTGAGCGAAATGTCACTTAAACCAAATATTAATTTACCCCTCAATATGATCCTTGGTCAAGTTACACACTAGAGCTTTAGAACTTTACCTGTATAAGCATCTTTCTGTCCTCCTCAATGTGTTTGTGTGTAGCCTCTTGTTCAACTTTAAGCTCCGTCTTCAACGGTATGTTTATATTCACGCGGAGCTTTTTGCTGGAAATTAACACCGAATAATAATTTAATATAATATAATATTTTATTTAAGCTGTAACCGATTCTGAGATCTCAATCGCTTTCATTCGGTTTTATACCCATTCAGGATTCATGCGAGGGCTTTCTTTTATAGCTTTGATGGGTGGACGAGTGAGTACTCACCGGAGCCCATAGGCATCAACAATGTAAATGGACGCCATCTACATTGAAATATGAGCTCTAAGTCTAAGTTTAAGTATAACGGCTGCCCCGCCCTTCAAACCGAAAGGTATTACTGCTTCACTGATTCACGGATTCTAATGTTGCCTACCACCAAATGACGTTTATAGTAACATTCACATACATTAGGACTTTTTGGCGGGAACGCGAGGAGTGAAGTTGTGTGATTTGTTTTATTTTGTCTATTTAGTGTTTCTTCAGGTTTAAATGTGTAATAACGGTGGTTTATTAACTGTTTAATATCTGTGAAAGTGCACAGATGTGGGAAAATGAAACAAAGCCGCTGGACGTAACTTCACGGGATCCTCCAAAAAGTAACCACTGAAAAAACCTCAGTAAATGTGGTCATTTTACTGAGATTATCATCCCATATCATCTCATTTCATTTAATTTCATTCCAGTTGATTAATGTCTCAAATTAATCATATTTTCATTTCATTTCACTCTATAGATTTAAATGTCTTAGTTACCAGGTCATAAAATCCCTTAAAAAAAACTTTTCTTAAATGGGAACAATAGATGATGCCATTGGACCGCGCTTTAGGAGACGCAACGAGGGCAACTAGCCAACACACAAGGGGGAGCGGTCTGGTGAAGGGGATAACTGCACTGCCATCCACTATCCCGTGCAGCGATTTACATAAGCCCATGGACCGATGCCATAGTTCGGCCTGCCTCAATGGCCTATGACAAGTAAAAATAGTGAAAGGTTCATCGGTACTCACTTCTTGTATCCCGAGTAGAGATCGACAACAGAGTTCTCGCCAAGCTCAGCCTCGTCCTCTTGACACACCAACAGTTTTGCCTTCAATAATATTTGAAGCACCTGAAAATGAGAATAATGACGCATTACGATTGATAGGAAAACCGGAACATTGGGTTTGGCCGGGGTCAATAATATACAATACTAGCGACCCGCCCTCGCTTCGATTCGGAAACTGTAATTTATTATTGAATTCTCCACTATTTAATGGATGTTATTATACATAATATTGATTCAATATTATACAATATTATACAATTCAATATTAATTCAGTTCAATATTATACATAATTGAACGGCCGTCTGGTGTAGTGGTAAGTGACATGGTCACTACATACGGGGGTCGCGGGTTCGAATCCCGCCAAGGGAAGATATTTGTATGACAAATATAAATGTCTTTTCCAGGGTTATGGATGTATATTAAATATATGTATGTGTATAATAAAAATCTTACATTTATTTCCGTTATCTGGTACCTGTAATACAAGTTCTTTACGAACTTATCACGGGACCAGTTAACGTGGCGTGATTGTTAGTAAATATTTATTATTATTTATTTATATAAATATATATATATATATAAACCTTCCTCTTCAATCACTCTATCTATTAAAAAAAACCGCATCAAAATCCGTTGCGTAGTTTTAAAGATTTAAGCATACATAGGGATATAAGGACAGAGAAAGCGACTTTGTTTTAAACTATGTAGTGACAATGCCACCCCGGATAATAGATATCTATGGAAGGTATGTTGACCGCGAATGTGGAGCGTATGACGTGTGACGAAATCTCGTCAGATTTGGATCGCTAATAACTACGAGTACATGGGCGCAAACGGCACTATTGACAATTTTAGTAGTCGCTGGTGGTGGTTGTAAGTTCACCAGTGCCGGGCGGCACAATAACGAGTCCGTAATTGGATGGACAGTTCATTTCCAATCACAGACGGTATAACAATATTTAGAACGAGAAATTACGGAGTACAGAAGGCACAGATAAAGCGGTAGCAAATTCAAACACAATAATACAAAATAGACGAAATCAATAAATCGTAACGAAGCAAAAGAGTACGCGTAAGTCGAGGAGTGACACAGTCTTAGCGTGACGTAGTTATACATAGTCGGGGTCTTTGCCGCATACTAGCGGTTACGCCCGACTATGCTTGTGTAAATAATATAATTTTGAGTAGTGTTGTGAATGTATGATTGTTTAGCGTATTTGTGTACTGTATGAGAGTGTGTTATAGAGTACGTAATTAAATATGATATAATATTAAATATTGAGTAGGTGTGCAATGTAAATTAATAAATAATATGAACACAATTAATGTTATGGTTTATAGTTTAGTTTATTCTATGTTATTATTTATTTATAATTATTAGTAAGATGAAACTGTTATTCTACCATATTTAATATTTAAAATCTATTTTGAACTAGCTGACCCGGCAGATTTCGAAGTGCCTCGATCAATAAATAAAAGACCTAAAGTTTTCTATAAAATAAATTTAAAACAAAGAAAAGGAATCCGTCCGACGGGGGACGCATCAAAAGAAAAACAAAATTGTAATTTTTATAAAATTCCGAGCATTTTCATATTTATCAACCTTTTAAGCCTTCTCTGGATTTCAACAAATAATTCAAGACCAAAATTTGCCAAATCGGTCCAGCAGATCTCGAGTTTTAGCGTAACTGATGAACAGCAATTCATTTTTATATATTCCTAATAAGATATGAATCATTTTCCTATGCAGTATTTTCATGTTCATGGGTGTTCAAGTTTTTTGAGCATTCGACTTCAGCACTTTCATAATTGCAAGTATTTTTGGCATGTACCAGGGCGCCGTACTTCGACGTGAAAACCTGGTTTTAAAACCTGGTAGTGTAAACGCGCCTAATTTTTTTTTTGCTTAGATGGGTGGAGGAGCTCACAGTCCACCTGTAAGTGGTTACTGGAGCCCATAGACATTTAAAACGTTAATGCGCCACCGCCTTGAGATATAAGTTCTAAGGTCTCAGTATAGTTACAACGGCTGCCCCACCCTTCAAACCGAAATAGGTGGGGCGGTGGTACCTACCCGTGCGGACTCACGAGATGTCCTACCACCAGCAAAACACAATTGAGGTAAATTGTGCCGTAGGTGAAGCCATCCGGAGTGTCTTAGGTCAGTGCCAGGTTCTGATCGTGCGACGCTCCTTCTCAATATACCTGGAGTGTGGCTCACCTGTATGAGGAAGTCCCCTTTGATGCCGGTGTGCTGCTCCAGCTGGCGGACCGTCCACGAGGTGTTGTCGTTGTACTGCAGCAGCACCGCCATCTGGAACGTGCTCGCCTGCAGCGTGTACCTGGACGTTACAATAACCTGTATCCCAGCTTTCGGTCGCATAGGAGGCTAGCAAACCCTGGACAGAACACCGGCCAGATGCGTCGTCGCGGCCTAGAGGATAAGACATCCGGTGCATTCGTGTCTAGCGATGCACCGGTGTTCGAATCCCGCAGGCGGGTACCAATTTTTCTATTGAAATACGTACTTAACAAATGTTCACGATTGACTTCCACGGTGAAGGAATAACATCGTGTAATAAAAATCAAAACCCGCAAAATTATAATTGGCGTAATTACTGGTGGTAGGACCTCTTGTGAGTCCGCGCGGGTAGGTACCACCGCCCTGCCTATTTCTGCCGTGAAGCAGTCATGCGTTTCGGTTTGAAGGGTGGGGCAGCCGTTGTAACTATACTTCAGGCCTTAGAATTTGAATCTCAAGGTGGGTGGGGAGCATTTACGTTGTAGATGTCTATGGGCTCCAGTAACCACTTAACACGAGGTGTGCTGTGAACTCGTCTACCCATCTAAGCAATAAATAAATAAAAAAATATATTGAAAATATGTTTTCGTGAAGCTTTTAGAGCTCACTAAAGGCAATGCTGAGTTCCACTCGCTTGAGAACCTGAAGTCAGCAGTTACTGACAGTTTATAGGCAGACTGACAGTATGACTTTTTTATAGGCAGACGAGAATACGTTCCACCTGATGGTGAATGATTACTGTCGCCCGTGGACGTCAGCAATGCCAGGAGCAGAGCCGTTGTCTGCTCGGGCGTTACCTGTTCTTGAAGCAGTTGGTGAGGAGTTCCCCCTTGCTCATGTTGTAGAGCCAGTTCAGCTTGCGCCCGGAGTGCTGCGACGAGTAGAACGTGGTGAACCGGTGCACGGAGCGCTCCAGCTGGAGATACAACCAGACCCAACATTACACATTTCGATATATACTCCGCGCGCGAGCTCCGAGGATTCGGGGGCTGAGGAAGCGGGCGGGCGTGCACCGCGCCCGCCCGCCCGCTTCATACCCCGCACTCTCCCAGTACTAGTGTCAACCTTAACGTGAGAGTACGCTTACCGACTCGTTGTTTTTAATTTTGCGATAGCAGTGTTAATTAGGGGTGATTTCTAATATAAATAGTCTTACACTTATAAGTCTTTTTGTTTGCACAAATAGCTATTTAATTTGATGAAAACGGAATGGCGAGCACTAGCATAATAAACATGTCTTAGCATTACAGGAATATTACTGGCAAAAGGATGGCTTAACGGAGGATGTTGTCGAATCATTTATTATTAAAGTATGTGAGGAGAGTGACATCAAGAGGTGAGTACATCAAATTCTTCAACTACTGATTAATCTGATTGCGAGAGTAATTAATAAGATTACACGTTTATTTTGTTCAATAAAAATCAGTTCATTAAATGAAATTCATACGTGATCAAATGTTTTTTTTTATTTATTTCAAGTACATAATACCCTCATAAAACTATATTATAATTTACACTCGCACGGAGGCTTAAAATGTGTTAGTATCGATAGCGCAATATCGACTAATTACAACACTAGCTCATTACGTCAACATTCCTTAAAAATCCTCGGAGCTCGCGCGCAGACAGTACCTTTGTAACGAATCTATTATTTTTACTGTGACTATTTTGCTCAGTGCGAGTTTTTTAACGTTCTCGATAGCGTAAAAGTTAACTTCAAATTTGTATGTAGTTGGAACAGCGCCCCTAGCGGCAAACGTAGGCAAACACACTAATCACGTGACACACCACCATTACTGCCGCGATGCGATAACGCATTCCGACTTGGGTGGTGGGGCGACCGATGTACAGTATGATCGAGATTTAGACCTTTCGTCTCAAGGAGGGCGTTGTCCATGCGCTCAGGTAAAGAGTCGTTTTTAAGTTTTTTTTTCCACTAAATCGCTGAAGGATGTGGATACGACATTCGCGTCAGAGACAAAGGGATAACGTCTTAGTCCTGTTATAAAATGACTGATGGCCAAACGAGAGCGCTTTACCATTTAAAGCCAGTCGGGCTGTGAACTCATTTAGTTACTTAGAACAATAGAAATTGAAGACATCGCAGACAAGTTAATGTCCCTATGCGTGCATTCAATTTCGATAGAATAAGCTATGGTAGAATTATTTTTTCCGTGCAGTTTGGGTCATAAAACAGAGCCCGGCTAGGGCGGTGAGCATTTTACACGGGCGCAACGCCCCTCTCTCTCTCTCTCTCTCTCTTCCAGTGCCTTTTCACTAAAATGAAAGTAGGTCTCGAAAAGTTACAAAGTGTTAATTTCTGCCGTTCTAGTTAATTTTCTGCGGCGATATGTGGTGTAAATGTTCGACTAGTGATTTTTTTCTTTCATTGTAATCACTAACCACCTCACTAAAAAAACGACAAAACTAAATACACTATCGATAAAGCTTATCGACAACAATAATGCGCATCACTATGCCCGTTCATAAGGCTCGTGAGTGGAAGAGAGAGCGAAATACTCGCTTCACCGCTCCGATTATTTATAACCCAAACTGCACGGACAAAATAATTCAACTATAGTGTTAGCAACGTCGTCAGGCTTGATCTCCGTGAACTCACCTACTACGAGTAGTTCTGTGAATCTAGCATAACCCCTCGAGGTTACTAGAAAAGGTAGGTGGTAGGACCTCTTGTGAGTCCACGCGGGTAGGTACCACCGCCCCGCCTATTTCTGCCGTGAAGCAGTAATGCGTTTCGACTTGAAGGGTGGCAGCCGTTGTAACTATACTTGAGACTTTAGAACTTGTATTATAGATGTCTATGGGCTCCAGTAACCATTTAACACCAGTTGGGCTGTGAGCACGTCCACCCATCTGAGCAATAAAAAAAAAAATAGAGTAACATTGTGATGGGGGGGGGGAGTATTGAAGTGGTGACGTCACCTCCGTGGGCAGCTGGAAGGACGTGGACTGCTGGAAGGGCCACGAGCCGGACGACAGCACCTGGATGCTGAAGTCTATGTGCAGGGGCTGCTCCGAGCTGTTCGCCATGTGCTTCCTGAAGTTCTCGTTCAAGTCCTTCGACACGCCAATGTCCTGTGCGAGATATTAAATTAATCATCATCATAAATTCACACATTGATTTGTTTATATTGTGTTTTTGAAGTTATACTTCTTTAGGCGCGTTATGAAAAATTGATGAGAGTGAAATTTTACGATGCGCGCGCACCGTGACACAAAATTAACAGAAATGAAATTGCCCACTAAATCGCTCATTACAATACGACCGACGTAACTTGGCGAGTCTGAATATAGCCGCAGGTGAACTTTCGCGCATGTACACTCGTAAAAAAAAGTGTTATTAGCATTCATTTTTTAGTAATATAAATGACAAAATTATTATTTAATATAATTCATACTAAATATTATTAAATTATTAACGTTAAATATTTATTAATTAAAAAAAAAGAAATAAATTTAATAAAAATAAAGTATAGCTTCTTACGCGCGTACGTACATAAGTACACGCATCCTTTTTTTTATTATAGCTCTTTTATTTTAAAAAAACCTATCTTGAACAAACTAAATAAACTTCTGTAAAATTATAAACGATGAAACAAGTTGAGAATGATTATTTTTTAATAAAAACAGAAAATTAAGTGAACCGAAAGAAATGGGTTATATGAATAGACGTCAAAAGTGAAGAATAAAAAAACTACATTAGCTATTATCAAAATAGTAAAGAGGTCCGCAACAATTGTCAACAGTTTTTTTATTAATTCGAGAGATATTTTATGATGGGAAATGCGATTCCTATGTGAAGGGAAAAAAAACGATCCCAGAAGGCCAGAGGTGCTCGCCGGATCTTCTCAGCGGGTGCGATTTCCATCCAGTGGTAGACTCAACCAAGCGCTGCTCTTGCTAGGGCCATGTTAGCAATGCTCTGAATAGCCTTCAAGGCTACTGGCAAATGGGTAGACGAGAGGACTTAAAAACGCCAGTTTTTAGTAAAATTACTAAATACTAACTTGGAACATTCTCTGCAGTTTGCTTGTGTACTCGAATCCGCAGGCTTGTTTCAATTTTGAGATCATCGACGCCTGTCAACAGAAACACATAATGTAGTTGTAACGATTATTTATAAAGCTCAACTTCTCTGCGTCTAGACCGACTCAGCTTTATAAATTTTATGGTTTTTTTTAATGCTTAATTTGGGAAACGAGCTCACAGCCCACCTGGTGTTAAGTGGTTACTGGAGCCCATAGACATTTACAACGTAAATGCGCCACCTACCTTTAGAGATATAAGTTCTAAGGTCTCAGTATAGTTACAACGGCTGCCCGACCCTTCAAATCGAAACGCATTATTGCTTCACGGCAGAAATAGGCAGGGCGGTGGTACCTACCCGCGCGGACTCACAAGAGGTCCTATCGTAAATAAAAGCGATGACGCCTGACCACCACCAGGGATACTTCCTCAGCGCCGAGATTGAGACGAAGCATACTGACCTCTGCGTCATCGCTGGCCGACATGTGCTGCACCAGTCTCTTCGCCAGCATCTTGCTGTAGAACTTCTGGAAGACGTCCTTATCTTCGATGTACTTGAACACTACCATCTGCAATTATAATTATCTCTGTTATTCGAAGAGGTCAAATCAACAAAATTGGAACTCCGCTATCTGGTCTATTTGATAGATTTTTTTTGTTTATCATCTATTGATTTATCACGTCTCCTCCGTCAATTCCTACTACCAATTTCAGACGAGATCAATCTATCTATTATATATCTATAAGATATAAATGAATGACAAATAAACCTATGAAAATCAACGCAATCCAACATTTGTATCCTCTAAGCTTAAGTGTGTGTTTGTTCACCCGCTTTGTCGTGTTTAAATAATAACTTGGATAGTTTTCTAGAATTTGGGGGAATTGGGGGGTAGATGTTGCTCGCGTCCGTAGGATTACCATCTTTTCCTAGACCCTCCCTACACGTGCCCTCCGGGTGGTGCAAAATGAGCAACAACGCCGAGCTACAGGCGGCGGTTAATTAACCTGAATAATGGTAACCACAAACCATGAGGACTAAATTCCCTCAATAAGAGTGGCGATGGTACCTTGGGAAAGTATCATTAGTATNCGTACTGATCGCGCGTTTCTCTCATTATTGTATTTTCATATATTTGTTAGTCGTTTGTTTTGTGTCTCGTTAATTTGTTAATAATCTGTAGTGTATCGTGTTGTCGTAATATAGAACTATTTCTCGTATTGTTTCGTTTATTTTTTTATATCCAGTAAACTCCAGTCGTGCGTCGGAGCGGACACACACACTTTTTTATTTAATATAATTCATACTAAATATTATTAAATTATTAACATTAAATATTTATTATTAATTATTTAATACTTAAAAAAATAATAATAAAAATAAAATGTAATTCTTACGCGCGTACATAAGTACACGCATCCTTTTTTTTATTATAGCTCTTTTATTTATTTAATTCTTAAATTTTAATTTTTAATTTTTATTCTAAATAAACTTCTGTAAAATTATAAACGATGAAACAAGTTGAGAATGATTATTTTTTAATAAAAACAGAAAATTAAGTGAACCGAAAGAAATGGGTTATATGAATAGACGTCAAAAGTGAAGAATAAAAAACCACATTAGCTATTATCAAAATAGCAAAGAGGTCCGCAATAATTCTCAACAGTTTTTTTATTAATTCGAGAGATATTTTATGATGGGAAATACGATTCCTATGTGAAGGGAAAAAAACGATCCCAGAAGGCCAGAGGTGCTCGCGGGATCTTCTCAGCGGCTGCGATTTCCATCCAGTGGTAGACTCAGCCAAGCGCTGCTCTTGCTAGGGCCATGTTAGCAATTCTCTGAATAGCCTTCAAGGCTACTGGCAAATAGGTAGGCAAAAGCTCTTAAAGACACCAGTTTTTAGTAAAATTACTATTATATACTAACTTGGAACATTCTCTGCAGTTTGCTTGTGTACTCGAATCCGCAGGCTTGTTTCAATTTTGAGATCATCGACGCCTGTCAACAGAAACACGAAATGTAGTTGTAGCCATTATTTACGAAGCTCAACTTCTCCGCCTCTAGACCGACTCAGTTTTACAAATTTTATGTAATCAATATATATCAAAATGATTTCTTGTTCGTTAGTCTCGCTAAAACTCGAGAACGACTGGTACGATTTGGCTAATTTCGGTCATGAATTATTTGTGAAGTCCAGAGAAGGTTTAAAAGGTAGATAAATGAATGAAAATGCTCGGAATTAAATAAAAATAACAATTTTGTTTTTCCTTTGATGTGCCCCCAGTCGGACGGATTCCTTTTGTTCGTTTTAAATTTATTTTATACAGAAGTTTATGACGCTCGACCATCATCAGGTATACTCCCTCAGCGCCGAGATTGAGTCGAAGCATACTGACCTCTGCGTCATCGCTGGCCGACATGTGCTGCACCAGTCTCTTCGCCAGCATCTTGCTGTAGAACTTCTGGAAGACGTCCTTATCTTCGATGTACTTGAACACTACCATCTGCAATTATAATTATCTCTGTTATTCGAAGAGATCAAAACAACAAAACTGGAACTCCGCTATCTGGTCTATTTGATAGATTTTTTTTGTTCATCATCTATTGACTTATCACGTCTCCTCTGTCAATTCCTAGTACCAATTTCAGATGGGATCAATCTATCTATTATATATCTATAAAATATAAATGAATGACCAATAAACCTATGAAAATCAAAGCAATCCAACATTATTTGTATCCTCTAAGCTTAAATGTGTGTTTGTTCACCCGCTTTGTCATATTTAAGTAATAACTTGGATAGTTTTCTAGAATTTATTAAAACATAACTTAAATGAGACATAAACAATTGGTAGAAATTTTGCAGCAGTAATGGAGGGAAAATGCAATGACACAGATTATATTAAGGAGATAGATTATACAAACTCAAGGGTGTGAACAAGTTGCATGATTTCATTATAAATAGATACTTTAAAATGTATTTTATATGAATCCACGTAACAGAACCATAGCGAGAACTTTTTGGCGGGAACGCGAGGAGTGAAATTGTGTGATTTGTTTTATTTTGTCTATTTAGTGTTTCTTCAGGTTTAAATGTGTAATAACGGTGGTTTATTAACTGTTTAACATCTGTGAATGTGCAGAAATGTGGGAAATTGAAACAAAGCCGCTGGAGGTAACTTCTAGGAGTCCTCCAAAAGTCCACTGAAAAAATCTCAGTAAATGACCCCCATTTTACTGAGATTATATTTCATCCCATTTCATTTCATTTAATTTCATCCCAGTTCATTAATGTCTCAAATTAATCATCTTAATTTCATTTCATTTCACTCCATATTATCATTTTCCATAAAAATAAGAATATAAATTAAAATAAGAAATGACTTAAAGGTCTCAGTTACCAGGTCATAAAATCCCTTAAAAAAACCATAGCGAAGTTCAAGATTTTTAAGATTTTGTAGTTGAATGTACTCACGACTTGATTCAAGGTGTCTTCAAGTTCAGCCTCCTCGGGGTTCTTGCTGGACTTCTTCAGCAGCAAATCGCAGTACTTGGCCAACAGTTCCGGACTCTTCGACGAGGAGTTCGCCGCTTTCGTCACCGCGTTGCCTACGAGTGGTTGTCACACTTAAAACTTATTGGTTCTATTATAATAATAATAATTATTAACGTTTTTTATATCTTTTTGTCAACCCTAAAAAAAACGATTGACTTACGGTACTAATATCAGATTTATTTGGTGAGCAATGAACGTAACTTTATCGTGTGACGTCATTTGGGGGTATAAAAAAAGACAAGCTAACCGTGAATCCCACTACGATTAAGCAGATTAATATTAGCTTTCATTTATTTGTTGAAATTATTATGTTAAAAATCAATTAAGGTTCGTGTAACAAACTTTTCCCAATGTTTACTTATTCATATAAACGTATTATTTAGGGTTGTCTGTATGTACGGATAGAAATGTTGCCAGAATAAAAACACAGTGAATTAAAAGTAAGAAATTAAATTCGATAACTAAATGATAGTGCCAAAATCACCTCGCCTTTTTTTATTGCTTTCATGCGTGGACGCGCTCACAACCCACCTGGTGTTAAGTGGTTACTAGAGCCCATAGACATCTACAACGTAAATGCGCCACCCACCTTAAGATATAACTTCTAAGGTCTCAAGTATAATTACAGTGGCTGCCCCACCCTTCAAAGCGAAACACATTACTGCTTCACGGCAGAAATAGGCAGGGTGGTGGTACCTACCCGTGCGGACTCACAAGAGGTCCTACCACGAGTAAAGACTCATTATGAACTGGTTAATTTTGACAAATAAATAATAAATAGCTCACTGTTTATGAATCTCCCGCAGGCCTTATCGAGTGCCGCCACGAAGCCAGAGTCGTTGTTGAACGCGACCAGGACGAGAGCGTTGTACTTCTTGTGAACTTCTAGAATCGTCGAGACGTAAACCTTCGGATCCTGGAACGTCAGAATATACGGGGTGATTTTTTTAAAGTAATTTTTTAAATTCCTTGAATATCTGGTGTGCCTTTGTGGTGAGCTGGGGAGGGGGGCAGGCCCTTTTATCTTATTGCATAGGAGTGTTACCTGGTGTTAAGTGGATACCAGAGCCCATAGACATCTCTAACGTAAATGCTGCCATTTTTACTGGTGGTAGGACCTCTTGTAAGTCCGCACCGGTAGGTACCACCGCCCTGGCTATTTCTACCGTGAAGCAGTAATGCGTTTCGGTCTGAAGGGTGTGGCAGTCGTTGTAACTATACTTGAGACCTTAGAACTTATATCTCAAGGTGGGCGGCGCATTTACTGACCGTGTGTGCCGTGTTGCCGCACTTGTCGGGCGCGTGGAGGGGCGCGGGGAGGAGGGGGTGGCTGCGCGGTACTCATCGTAATTTTTTTTAATTGCCGTACAGGCAGACGAGCATACGACCGGCCCACCTGATGGTGAGTGGTTACCGTCGCCCATGAACGTCAGCAATGCCAGGGGCACAGCCAAGCCGCTGCCTACCGTTTAATACTCTCCACAAGCCTCGTTTGAAGAAGGACATCGGAAAACACCGGTGGAGGGGAGCTCATTTCATAGCCGGATGGTACTCAAGGTGGGCGGCGCATTTACTGACCGTGTGTGCCGTGTCGCCGCACTTGTCGAGCGCGTGTAGTCCCTGCGCGTGTATGTGGTGCTCGAGGAGCCGCCGCAGCTCGCACAGGCCGTCGGGGATGCGCGCCACGAGGCTGTACATTCGACCGAGGTCGGAGTTCTTGTCGCCGTCTAACAGTTTCTGTTGAAAAATTACGACGATTTTATTAAAAAAATTTCGTGATTAGGGTCAATGAACTTTACAAGCTTATCGATATCGATTATTAAGCGAAATTCATTAAATCTAATTCGTTGATAGTTTAAATAATTTTTATAATAAGTAATGTGGCGGTAGTCATCATACAACACAAGATATTTGACAGATGCCTGAATCTCGCTTACGACAATTTCAATATAATTTTGCATATATACAAGTTTCTGGAAGATCTTCTTTCAGGTATTCAGGAAAAGATTCAGGCATTTTTTTTCTTCACCGTGGAAGTCAATCGTGAATATTTTGTTAAGTACGTATTTGATTAGAAAAATTGGTACCCGCCTGCGGGATTCGAACACCGGTACATCGCTACACACGAATGCACCGGACGTCTTATCCTTTAGGCCACGACGACTTCAAATATCAAATGTCAAATATCTTGTGTTGTATGATGGCTAGCGCCACACTAATGTATTTTAGACCTTATTATCAAAGACGTTAGTTACATAATCGAACGCTTTATACAGGCTAGTTCGGTTGTGGGAGAAAAAAAACAACATTTTTGATTCACCTGAAATTCGGCATGGAATATGTCTAGATGCTTCTCGATCAGTACCCGGTCGCAGGTCTTGGCCAGCCTCTCGGTCGTTGTCTCGTGCAGATACACTTGTACCCGACGCTGTTCTTCTTGAAGACGCTGCTCTGCCTGATGAGAGAAAGAGAAAGAATGAAACTATACAACGTTATAATATAATTATTGTTTTTTAAAGGATGTTATGACCTGGTAACTACGACTAAGTCTTGTCTTATTTCAATTTATATTCTTATTTTCGTAATCATTCGTAATCGCAGCAATCATCGCAGCAATCATTCGTAAAGTAATTGCTTCCATGATTCGCCGTGTGCGGGTCAGTCGCAACAGCTACCTACGGCAGTTCGCCTCACGGATGGATCTGGACTGCCCAATAATGCAACACTGGACACGTGTGCTTGTTGAGCACTCTGGATCCAAACCAGCTTTTAGGTTAAGATAGTTTTGATGTAAATTTTGAGTTTTTGTTTTATTATTATTATTATTATTTGATTTTTGTCTTTATTATTATTATTGCTTTTGTTTTAGTTCGAGATTGTAGTTATTATTTTTATTTAATTCTAGTATAAATGAAATGTTAATGAGTGTAATATGGATGCAAAATCTGAAGTAAATGAAATAAATGAAAATTGACACTAAGTATAAAGACACAAAAGACCATTCAGGCCAATATTAGTTAATTTTGCAACGCTTATATCGGTGAAGTCTTATAGAGTCGTATTATCAAAGGCTTCAGTCTAATCAAAACTTAGGACATTCTCGAACCTTAATCATGTACTCGGTGACGGGATTACTTCTGAGAAAGTCTGTGCTCTCCCTCGTGTAAAATCTCTCGGTGTCCTCAAGGAATACGGCTTCGAAGGTGTCCTTGTAGATGGCCAGGTTCTGTCCCCGGGCACTAGGGTCTTCTTCGTTAAGACCCAGAGCCACGTAGCAATTGATTACCTGAAACGAGAAATTGTTAATAATTTTGGCCTAATGCAATGTTATTGTTACGCCGGTAAGAGTAACGCCATCGAACGAATATCGAAGGGTCTAGTAGCACCTAGAACGCTCGAGAAGTACAACGCCATCTATTGGCAGATAGCGGAAACACAATACTAGAGATGTGTGAAATATTCTCGATAATTCTAGGGATGTAGTATCGGCTATAAAAGCGTTGCAGAGATGGCACGAAGTCAGTTAGTAATTGGAACTATTCGAAGCTTAACTGCGAACGGATCACCTGAAGCGAAGCGGAAGAAGCGAATTGAGAGTTTTAAAGTGAAGTGTTTAAGTGTTTTAAGTGTTGAATACAGTTTTTAACTTGTACTTTGATGAAATTTTATTTATCCCGAACCCCAGCGCGTTGCATTATCAATAAATAATGATGAATGTAATTTGTTAATAAGGCAAAGTACTTTGAGCAACGCATCTATGATTGTGCAAACTAATCAGTCACGGGTTCCTAGTTACGTTGTCAATGTATAATATTCATTTAAATCATAAAATAAAATAGTTTTTACCGGCTAAACTGTTTCTGTTAATTATGACCGTCCTAATATAATTTTATGTAATATCTCTGTTATTATTCATACATTTGAGATTCACTGCTCTCAGTTACCTTCAAGAATCTCAAAGATTACTAATAGTAATTAGCATTTATACAATTTATTCGTTTTATTGCACATATACCTTCTTGTTAAGTGACAAATCACCATCTGAACTTAGCCTGGATGATCTTCATCCACCAGTCTATACATTTAATATTTCTTTGTGTCTTTTTTTTTTTTGCTTATATGTGTGGACGAGCTCATAGCCCACCTGGTGTTAAGTGGTTACTGGAGCCATAGACATCTACAACGTAAATGCGCTACACACCTTGAGATATAAGTTCTAAGGTCTCGGTATAGTTACAACGGCTGCCCCGCCCTTCAGACCGAAACGGATTACTGCTTCACGGCAAAAATAGGCAGGGCGGTGGTACCTACCCGCCCGGACTCACAAGAGGTCCTACCATCAGTATTGATAAAGTATATTCCTTTTTATTGTGCCACATCAAAACTCCCCATCACATCGTGATAGCAATAACAAAAGCAGTAACTATAGTGGCAATACAAATACAGTCAAACCTGGGTAAGTGAGAACTGGATAAGTGAGAAAACTCTTATAAGTGAGAGTAATAGTCAGGACCCGTCATTTTAAGCTCCCAAAACTTCTATTAGCGAGAAACAGAAACCTCTGTAAGAGAGAGTCGCTTTTCCCTCATGGCCCTCCGTAAGTGAGACTGCTACTTATCTATACCTCTATAAGCGACAGTCGAGCTTTATTTATTTATATTATTTAGGAGGAACAAATGACAAAACAAATTACAAATTTAACATTTACTATTATAAAATACTACTATAATAAAATAATTACGAAAGTTCACTTCCTACCATTGTTTTTGTATTGTTTTCTTGTCAATATTGAACCTATTCTATTTCGTGGAACTAACACAGGAATACATTCGTACTGCATTAGCGAAAAACTCGGGTTAGTGAGAAACCTCTATAAGCGAGAATGAGATTGTGCTCCCTTGAACTCTCGCTTATCCAGGTTTGACTGACTGTATTAGTATTACTCACACGACAGAGGATTTGAGTTCAGCCCTTTCAAAGTTCAATTGAAGACTAAACTCACCCCGGAAACCAATCTCGTATTAATCGTCTCCCCGTTGCGTTCTCTTTCGATGAGCTTCAAGACGGCGTTGGTGACTTGCTTGTTCAGGCACTGGAAGAGGTTGTCACGCCACGTGACCAGGGCCAACTGGTATATTTCAAAAATACCCTGCAATGGGAAAAAAAAAACATGTTACGAGGGACACATATAGTGACCCTTTAGAAGGCAGGCACTTTGGTAGGCAGCGGCTTGGCTCTGCCCCTGGCATTGCTGAAGTCCATGGGCGACGGTAACCACTCACCATCAGGTGGGCCGTATGCTCGTCTGCCTACAAGGGCAATAAAAAAAAGAAAAAAAAAAAGAAACTCGGATCGTGTTGTTCATGTCCTCGGTAATCACTTAACCCTAAGTGGGACATGAGCTCTTCTACCTATCTAAGCATAAAAAAAAACATATACAGGGTGTATCAATTACCAAATTTAACAAATTTTTTATATAAATAAATATTCCAGATAGCATATTAAATATTTCACAACTGGATCAGTAGCAGTCGCAGTGTCTTCTTGTCAATTACCTTCTTTTTCTTTGATTTAATCTTCTTCTTTTGCTATCGGTTTCTCTTATCAGGTTGGTGTTAAATTATATTATGCATCACGGATGGATGTCACATATCACTTGTCTTTGCTTCTTTCTGTCAAAACGTTCTTCTGTTTGGTTAGACGAGGGAAGACGTCGTTTTTTTTTAATGCTTAGATGGGTGGGCGAGCTCACGGCCCACCTGGTGTTAAGTGGTTACGGGATCCCATAGACATCTTCAAAGTAAATGCGCCACCCACCTTGAGATATAAGGTCTCAAGTATAGTTACAACGGCTGCCCCACCCTTCAAACCGAAACGCATTACTGCTTCACGACAGAAATAGGCAGGGTGGTGGTACCTACCCGCGCTAACTCACAAGAGGTCCTACTACTACTACTACCTACTAATTGAAGTTATGACAGCTTACCTTGCGACCCTCTTCGCATTCGCGCTTAACCCAATGCCGATTCAAATAAGAGCATACTCCATTCAGCACCCTGGAAGAAAACTGATACTCCTCCCACTGCTTAGTGTAAAACGCCAATACGTCTTCGCCCATGAGGTCGGCGCCATTCTGCAAGCGAATGAGAACCATAATATCAAATCATTAAATTATCTTTTACTAGCGGCCCGCTCCGGCTCCGCTCAGGTCATTAACAAAAATTTAAACGATATTTGACGCTGTTTTAATTTTTTAAATAAAAGAACACTTATTGCGGCATAACTATAATAGTTAGACAGATTCTGCCGCGACACTTTTTGTAAATAATAATGTATTCTACAAAGTCGTAGTACCTTATTTTATTCTATTATCAATCGTTTTTGCAGGGCACGCGATGTAAAGAATATTTTAGATATTTTTTTTATACCTTGGGATCATTATTGGAGTTTACTGTTTATAATATTAGTATAGAAATATAGATTTGGCATGAACATTTCGATCTTTTTAATTGTTACTTCAATTAAGTTTACCCCGCTCAAATAGCTGAAGAAGTTCTTCTGTTAGGTACGATATTTTTTCCAAATTATCCAACTTTAAATAATTCTCCTGTAAAGTTGCTAAAATGTCGCTCACACCAAATATGCTTTCACCCCTCGATATGTATTTTAATGAGCGTGCAATAAATATATTGTGTTACTAGCTGACCCGGCAAACGTTGTTTTGCCGTATATAAGGTTTCTAGGGAATTTCTAGTGTAGAAAAAAAAACTAACTTATTGTAAGTGTGTACGGATGTGGTAAATGAGTGAAAGAGGCATATAGCGCTGTGAACGATGAAGGAATATAAAAATAACAAAACCTCATTCAACCACATACCTAATGCCTCATTATAACAAAAATAAAAAAAACTAATGTTAGGGGTGGGCAACCATTATCATTTAGGGGTATGAAAAATAAATAGTACCCGATTCTCATACCTACTGAACATGCATGTAAAATTTCATAAAAATCGGTCAAACCGTTTCAGAGGACTATGGTAACTAACATTGTGACACGAGAATTTTATGTATCGTCTTCTCGCATTAAAACGGTATAATCTCAAATCTTACCAATTTTACAGGAGAGTGTTTTAAAGGTTTAACATGTTATATTTTTAATATTAATCATATTTACAACTAAATTTTTTTTTTTTTACCAGTTACATTATCTGTCTTTTAAAGTAAGATAAAATTGTTAATAGTAGACAAAACATTATTGAATTTAAAATTAAAGTAATTTAAAAAAAAAAGTAAAACTAAATTACGCTCTTTTGACAGTATTTAGGAGAAAAATACTGGTCATACCAAATGTATACGCATATTAACTCAATTTCGAATATTTTTGGTAATTGTACACTTTTAATGCGAAAAAGCGATATAAGATACTCTAGCCAGACTGACCTGCAGCAGATTGATGAGGTAAATCCTGAGGAACTCTTTAAGCCTTTTGTACAATTCCAGACCAACGAGCTGAGCCCCGCCTTGCTGGACTTGACCAGTCTGGAACACCACAATCACAAGCTGGAGATTTGTTATTATAAGACGATGTCCCTCGGTAACCGTACTCGTCGAACTCGAAAAAGAGATCGACGTGCAACCTAACCCATGCATCAGCCCGCTGAGTTTCTCGCCGGATCGTCTCAGCGGGTCGCGATTACGATCCGGTAGTAGATTCATTCGCGAAGCAATTGCTCTTGAGTTGTTAGGTCTCCGTCGGAGGCGCTCGGGCAGCTGTTAGCAAATCCCACCCCTTCTAGCTGAGCCTTTGCTCGCCCACCTGTCTGTCCTGGTGAAATTGGATTACTGGGCCACCAGTAATCTTTCAATCATAAAAAAAACGATGTCGTTTACGACCGCATGCCGTTTTCCACCTTAAGCCATAGGAAATAAGGTCTAAATTGTATTAGCAAAGCATCTGTCCAGCGCTTCAAGCCGGAACGCATGAGAGCCACGGCACATGATAACGCCAATAAGACAACGTCTTACCAACTCTGCAGAAATGGATATCGACTGGTGAAAGGTTATTTGGTTTAAGCAACATTTATTTAAAATATCATAACAAATAAACTTCTTTCGTTATATCATTGGTAGAAAATCTAATTGAAGTTCAATTAAAAACATCGAACTGTTGATGCTGATCTATATATCTATATATATTAAAATGAATTGCTGTTCGTTAGTCACGCTAAAACTCGAGAACGGCTGAACCGATTTGGCTAATTTTGATCTTGAATTATTTGTGGAAGTATACAGAAGGTTTAAAAGGTAGATAAATATGAAAATGCTCGGAATTAACAATTCTGTTTTCCCTTTGACGTGTCCCCCGTCAGACGGATTCCTTTTGTTTTTGTTTTAAGTTTATGTTATACAAAAGTTAAGGTATTTTATTTATCGATTGAGGCACTACTACAAAGTCTGCCCGATCAGCTAGTACCAAACAAAACAGACCTTTAATTACAAAGATAGACGTTGCGTAAGAACCATGATGTCACTTAAACGAAATAACCCTTCGATATGTTATTTTGACACACAGGCAACATGAAGCCGTCGTGGCCTAAAGGATAAGACGTCCAGTGCATTCGTGTTGAAGCGATGCACCGGTGTTCGAATCCCGCAGGCGGGTACCAATTTTTCTAATGAAATACGTACTAAACCAATGTTCACGATTGACTTCCACGGCGAAGAAATAACGTCGCGTAATAAAAATCAAACCCGCAAAATTATAAATTGCGTAATTACTGGTGGTAGGACCACTTGTGAGTCCGCGCGGACAGGCACCACCGCCCTGCCTTTTTCTGCCGTGAAGCAGTAATGCGTTTCGGTTTGAATGGCGGGGCAGCCGTTGTAACTATACTGAGACTTTAGAACTTGTAAGTCAAGGTGGGTGGCGCGTCTACGTTGTAGATGTATGTGGGCTCCAGTAACCATTTAATACCAGGTGGGCTGTGAGCTCGTCCACCCATCTAAGCAATAAAAAAAAAACATATCTGTTGCTTTTAACATTTACTGCTTGAAAAAAATCATCTTACCTGTTTCTTTCCAGTATAAGAGACCCTTCCTATGTTATTTTGAGGCACTCTGCTGGAGCTACCGGCGCTATGATGATGAACCGACGTACAATAATTATATACGTGACTATTGGCTTATTAAGAAATATTACAATGGTAGATATTTTTTTCACGTCCTTACGGATCCATCAGATCCTTTGCATTAGACGCCTTCAGCTCTAATACTAGAAGCAGGCTTAGGGACCCCGGTAACCGTACTCGTCGAACTCGACAAAGAGGTCGACGTGCAACCTAACCCATGTATCAGCTCGCCGAGTTTCTCGCCGGATCTTCTCAGCGGGTCGCGATTCCGATCCGGTAGTGGATTCATTCGCGAAGCAATTGCTCTTGAGTTGTTAGGTCCTCTTCGGAGGCGCTCGGGCAGTTGTTAGCAAATCCCACCCCTCCTGGCTGAGCCTTTGCTCGCCCACCTGTCCTGGTGAAACTGGAAAGGCTTTCGGGCCACCAGTAATCTTTCAATCATAAAAAAAAAGATATTTCTTATTTGTAATGTATTTTATGGCCTGGTAACTGAGACCTTAAGACCTGGTAACTAAGAAAAGAAAACTTTTTTATATGAAAAACGATATTATGAAATGAAATGAAGTTGATTAATATGAAACGTGGCATGCAATGAAATGAAATGAGATGAGATTATTTTTTTAATTGCTAGATGGGTGGACGAGCTCACAGCCCACCTGGTGTTAAGTGGTAACTGGAGCCCATAGACATCTACAACGTGAATGCGCCACCCACCTTGAGGTGTTCTCTAAGGTGAAGTTCTAAGGTTTCAAGTATACTTATTTATGGCTGCCCCACCATTCAAAACGAAACGCATTACTGTTTCACGGCAGAAATAGGCAGGGTGGTGGTACCTACCCGCGCGGACTCACAAGAGGTCCTACCACCAGTAAACCTACCACTATTTGATCAAAATCAACAAAATATTTAAAGTACCGTCATTCTGAGCATTATTACATTATTTTGACTTAAATATCTTGAGACAGAATTCGTGGGGTTATGTCTTGCCTACTCGAGGGTAATTTTATCTCAGATTTGTAATTATTTTTGGAAACGCTGCTCGAACTTGTGGTAAAATATCTCTCCTCTTAAAGAATATCTAAGATCGGATTAATATAATCTATACTAATATATAAATCTAAAGTGGTTTTTACGGATGTTCCGTTATAACTACTGAGCCATGCATCCGATTGACTTGAAACGTGGTATCCATGTAGAAAATACATGTACTTAATGGATAGGCTAATATTTATATGAGCGTTGGACTCCCTACACCAGTTGCGGGGGCCATTAATGATGAGAATCTTTGTGGGGGTGAGAAATAATAGTGTTAATTTTAAATGCCCAGCGAAGCGGACGGGTACAGCTAGTGATGATATATTTCTAAAGGATACGTATACAGATCTATGTATCGTCTCTTGACCATGTACTGTTTTTTGTAAACTTGTTCGATTCCCTCTTGAAGATCGCCCCATATCTGAAAAAAAAACAACAAAATAAAAAACCATTTTACTTATTTTTTTATACGTCCTTATTCTGTAATTACGTCCTTTTTCTGTAATATTCTGTAATTGACGATTGTTCCAGCAAAGCGGTCACATACACACGCGAGTATACAAATATATGCAAATTGAATCATAGTACACGACATGTTTCGTTTATCACTTGTAGCCAGCCAGGCAGCCATATAGGAATACAAAATTTGGAATATTTTAATTGTGAGTTAAGGTTTCACATGTATTGACATTTATACGTGTGTATATTTTGCTGTTTTTGGAACGAAGTTCCTTATGGGACGATGCGGAGGGGTACCCTAACCGGGAAAAAACGTCCGTAACGTAAGATTTTTATTAGTAACGCACACAGAGTACGACTTAACTTTGTAATAACGTACAAATTACTAATGGACACAGTGTACGACTTAACTTTGTAATAACGTACAAAAAATAACATATTTTTTATCATTCATTGACCACGATCTCAGAGCGTTCGTTTGCGCAATACACTAACTCTTATGCAAACAACCGTGAATGAAGTGTACCACAATAAGTTCGCACGTTACCGAATGATTGTGGGTTGTTGCGAAACCTCCAGTTTTATTTTCTTTATACCTCGAATAGAACTTAAAATTAATATTTTTATATTATGGAACTTCGTTCCTATCCGGTGTCCCACGACACCACACATTTTTTATTGCCTTTTTGTGTAAAATGTAACTTATTTATGCCGGTTTTTTCTCTGTTCACTTCATTACTCATGTGTAATGTTAATGTTAAACTTATTTGGTTTTTATTTACCAATTTTAAATATAATAATATTATTAATGTCTTTTGTACTATTGCTTTTCCAAATAGTTGAGAACCGCACCCACGCGCATCTGCAGTATCTGACAAGTCCTTGCATTTTGGTTTGAAGTTGATCCTGTTAATCCTACACAGCTGATGCATACAACTGGTGATAGGGGCGTCTCATGAGCCCCCACCGCGGGTAGGTACCACCATTCAGGCTGTTTCTCTCGCGAAGCTGTCATGCGTTTCGGTTTGAAGGGCGCGACCTCAGAACTTCTCCATGCGTCGATAATCCTCAGTGCTGAGGATCGTGGCCTCCTCTCACAACTTTCTCCTGTATTATCCTGCGCCATTCCTGCCTATCCTCGACTTTGTGGATAGCAACGTGGACTGAAGTATTAAGAGTGGAGCTCAGAACTAAGACTTAGTAAAAAAAAATTATTGCCTTTTTAGGCAGACGAACATACGGCCCACCTCATGGTAAGTGGTCATTGTGGCTCATGGGCTTCAGCGATGCGCACTTAATTAATAAGGTACATTAAAAAAAAACCTTTGGAAATTTCTGCAATATATGTGAAAATAAGCTCAGTACTGAAAGAGTTGAAGCCAAATTAAAGTTTTTTTTTACTTTTCAATACCGGCGCAGCGTTTGACTAGAACGACTCAGCACAGTGCAGAGTTAGAAATATAAATACATAATAATATAAACAAATTCACGATTTCCATGGAAACTTGTCGAGATTGGCTCGAAATATCACTGACCGAAAAAAAAAGCAATTGGCATCAAGCCAGACAGTGGACATACTAATACCGTTGCAAAAAAATAAATCAATCTTAATTCAAATCGCAGCGATTATTCGAAAACCTTATTACCATCATCTCAAGTTCCGTTTTCGTTTAGCGTTCGCGAAGTGAAAGTGAAGCCAGCGTAGCCGCCCGCGAATGTGTGACGTCACAGCATTGATTTGTTTACGTGTGTGACGAAACTGACGTCCTAGAGCACGGCCGATGACGTCATACCAACAAAATCCTCCCAGCATTGCGGGGTTATAATTTTTTCGACTCGGCTAATAATGTTTTGCGCGATTACAGTAAATTCAACGTAATTATATTATAACTAGCAGTCTAGCGATGTTACCCGCGGTTATTGTCGTACCGCGGGTGACGCCGCGGGGCGAAGCTAGTCTAAAAAAAGTAGCCAAGTTTAACCTTAATTGAAACCTTACAGCATGCATCATAAGTTAAACTCAGCGAAGCACTGCTCTTGCAAGGGCTAGTGTTAACAAATTCTCTCAGGTTAAGCCAGTGAGCTCACCTATCTGTCCGGGCGTAGCTGGAATAGCCTCTACCAACGAATAGATGGGAAAAAAACTAACTTCAGCCGGCACAACGTCATACCTATCATATTAACGGCCGTCTGGTGTAGTGGTAAGTGACATGGTCACTACATACGGGGGTCGCGGGTTCGAATCCCGCCAAGGGAAGATATTTGTATGATAAATATAAATGTCTTTTCCAGGGTTATGGATGTATATTAAATATATGTATGTGTATAATAAAAATCTTACATTTATTTCCGTTATCTGGTACTTGTAACACAAGTTCTTTACGAACTTATCACGGGACCAGTTAACGTGGCGTGATTGTTAGTAAATATATATATATATATATAAATCCCGTAACTCTTTTGGCAACCTTTCATTTTCCAACCTTCTGACAACCACCACTTCTAATAGACTTAGAGCAAAATGAATCATGTATATTAACGTATTAACGAATATGAAACTGACTGTGCAACTCGAAATTCATCTTGTTGCAATATCCTAGAAAATAGTAATATACTAATATCAATATTCTTCGCAGTACTTTTGACCACCAAACTACATTGGTGTACTTACTCCATCCGCGTATATTTAAGTATATTACTAATCAATTCACTACAGATAAGTCTACCGTTTTTTTGGAAATAAATTGGAACTCTGTATATTGTTCCGTATACTTAATTCATTCCTACAAACGTCGGACTTCCTCCCATTAGCGTGTACTTCTGACATGTTCACTTACTGACAAAATATACTACCATTCACAGATCTTATAATTGTCGAAACCCATGTGCAGTCAATTATGAAAATAATATACTTAAGGCCATAATTGTTCAGTAGGAGAAACAGATAAACTACTTTGAAAAAATCTACATTAAGGTTTACCCTAAAATATTGTAAGTGGTAACTTTGCAGACATCATAAATTTGTTCTATTAAGTTCCTTTTTTTTTATTGCCCTTGTAGGCAGACGAGCATACGTCCCATCTGATGGTGAGTGGTTACCGTCGCCCATGGACTTCAGCAATGCCAGGGGCAGAGCCAGGCCGCTGGCTACCGTTGAGTACTCTCCACAAGCCTCGTTTGAAGAAGGACATGTCATAGCGCTCGGGAAACACCGTGGAGGGGAGCACATTCCAAAGCCGGATGGTACGTGGCAAAAAAAGATCTCTGAAAACGCACTGTGGATGAACGCAGTGGCTCCAAGTAGTTATGGATGTACTCTACTCCGGTGGCAGGCGGTGCGATAGTAAAAACGAGATGACGGAATCATCTCAAAAAATTCCTCAGAGCACTCCCCATGGAACATACGGTACAAAATTTTGAGAGAAGCGAAGTCCCTCCGCAGATCCGGAGGTTCCAAACGATCCGTGAGAACGGGATTATCGACAATCCGAACGGCCCTCTTCTGTATGGAGTCAAATGGAAGAAGCTGGTATTTGGGAGCCCCAGCCCAGAGGTGGGAACAGTACTCCACGCGAGGCCGGACTTGTGCTTTATAAAGCAAAAGTATTTGTCCAGGCGTGAAGTATCGCTTCGCTCTGTTGAGGACTCCCAGCATTTTGGACGCCATCTTGGCTTTGCCCTCCAAATGACTCCGAAGCTGGACATCGCACGAAATGTCGACTCCAAGTATTCCGATACTCGTGAAAGGTTTCAGGGATACTTCTTGGAATTGTGGCACCACGACAAAGGGGTCCTTCTTCGCAGTGAACGCGCAAACTTGTCTTTAACGGGTTGAATTGAACTAAGTTCGATTCACTCCACTCGGAGA